ATAATCTCTTCCGGAAAACACCGAGTATACTGAAATTTACAATAGCTAGATTTATTTGATTAGCAAAAAAAATAAAGCTAAATTTATTAGAAAAAGTTTTCAACCATGGTTGTTTACAGATTTTACAATAATTAATATTATAATTAATATTTTGACCCAAAAAAATAAAATAATTAATATTATACTTTGAAGCCATATATGGTATTCTGAATGCGTCAAATGACGTTTGAATTTACGTTCCCATGCACCGAGATTATATGATAAATAAACAATCATAAAGCAAATACAAAACTCTACGAAAAAATTGTAATATATATACAAACTCATAATGCAAACAAACAAATAGATTATGTAATGTGTAAATATTCTGACTAATTTAGACTCGTATACCATCAGATACGGATTTTCTCAATCTGATCGATGGTAACGTGTAAATTGTAATTGTTCACATATTTCTTGTATGTATAGATACTAACACAATCTGTAACTATCCTAAACTTCACACATACTCTACGATGGAAGAAATATTAGATTTCTAAAATAATAGAGTTAAAGATAAAAGTTGGTGTAACATCAAAAACATTTACGATTTAATCTAACTATCAATACTTTTGTAGACGGCAGCTATACCACACTGATGTTGGAAAGTATACAAACGGAATTTAATTACACGTGCGTGTACGTATTCTTTTACTCTATAATCACACTGTAAGAAAGCGAATTGTAATTCATTTTTAATCACTCGACTTATAATACAACGTGTCCATCTAGTTTTAGACTTTTTGATCTCCGACCAATTCAATTTAAGGCAGAATATTAATCTAGATAGAAGTTTTACTTTAAATGACATAATTTTAATAAGCCGTCCAAAAAGATTTTCATTCTCTCTAATTCCTTAGTGGGCTGCTGCCACATGTCGATACCTTATTTACATTTGTGTTCACATTTTAGTTGTTTGTTACTATATGTTAATGCTATTATCAACATTATGACTGACCTTGAATGTACTCTCAGAACAAGTACCCAACGACCAACCCATTACAGAAGTTTTCATTCCATTACATCATTGTCTTTCCTCCTAATATTATATGGTGAAAAACAAATTTCAAAAAATTAATTGCACGTGATTAGACTATGGTTACGTCTCTGTCAACACGCAAAGTAATTTTAAAACTTAAATTATGTGATTTGACCAAGTATAACAGAATGTATTCATCTGAAAAAATAAAAATGGTTAACTGACGCTTTTGGAATAAGACTATAAACCTTATTAGTATTCTAGAGTTCTACGTCTTAAGGTGTGAATTTACAAGAAACTATATATCAAAGAATACTGTATTCTTTAATTCATTCGGATGTTAGCTTCAAAATAAGATTAAAAAGTAAACGGTAAAACACCAAGTCAAAGTAAACATCTCTCCCGAATTTATACCATCGTGGGTGTAATAATAGTTCATAAGATTTGAACTTGTTAATTTGTGACTACGAGGGTTGAATTGTTAAAGTACTTTCGCCTTTGGTCTCTGATTCGTTTAATCAAAATCAAAGAAACACAAAAGTCTTTGTTTTTGTTATTATCGTGATACCAAGTCTGGTTTTACTCCAGAACATTCTATAAATTCAGTAAACATTCAATTCATATTGCCTAAAATGTTTTAAAAGTTATAATGTTATTTCTTGCCCAAGATTATTATTATTATTATGATTTTAGAAAACTAAAATTTTCAAATATTAAAATTTGTTTTGTAGATGTTTGAGTTTTCTAATTACATCTAAATATCTGTTTTTTACAAAGATGCTACTTTTCGCGTATTATAATTTTCTTAAAATTAATCTAGGTTTGACTTTGTTGAACATATATTGTCCCCGCAAAACAATACTTTTATGGAGACAGAAGATTTCAAATACATTTTCTAATAATGGAAACACGTTTCTTTCTTATTATCTCAAGACCACATTATAAATACTCACCACAGGCTCCATTTCATTTACATTCACAAGCAAACCAATCAACAACTTCACAAAACCACACACATTGTTATATTCACACACAACCACACACTAAGCTACTCGACCCGAAGAATGTCTGCCGACAAGAATCTGCTGTCAAAATTAGCTGTCGGTGACAAGCACGGTGAAGATTCGCCGTACTTCGATGGTTGGAAAGCTTACGATAATAACCCTTTTCATCCTGAGCATAATCCACAAGGTGTTATCCAAATGGGTCTTGCCGAAAATCAAGTTCGTTTTCTTCCTCTTTTAAGAACAAAAGAAAAATAAGTTTTCTTCTTATTTTCTTTGTCTTCTAATAAGTTTTTGGAATTATGATATTTGTTTTCAGCTTTGTTCTGACTTGATCAAAGAATGGATAAAGGCAAATCCACAGGCATCTATTTGCACTGCGGAGGGCATTGACGGTTTCTCCGACATAGCTGTGTTTCAAGATTATCACGGTCTCAAACAATTTAGACAGGTATTAATTAGTTCATTTAATATTACTGATTATATTTATAATAAATTAATTCTTCTTTATAGTAACATTGGCTGTGCTAAATTAAACAAAGATAATTCATCTTAGCACACTAATCATTTTGTAGTAACTCTAGCATGCATGTGAAGTATATATTTGCTAAATTTATTGTAAATGGTTTTTGGTGACGGAAAATAAAAGGCAATAGCGGCGTTTATGGAGCGAGCTAGAGGAGGAAGGGCGAAGTTTGAGGAAGAGAGGGTGGTGATGAGCGGCGGAGCCACCGGAGCAAATGAGACTCTGATGTTCTGTCTTGCTGATCGCGGCGACGCTTTTCTCGTCCCTACTCCTTATTATGCCGCGTACGTATTTTCTTAATTATTTCTTTTGTCTCCAAATAATAATTATTTTATTTATTAAGGGTTAAAGAAAAAGAGCATGAATCGTGAATTTTATACTGTATTTAAATAAAAAGGTGATGAAAAGGGCATTGCAGTTTAATGTTTCATAATAATACATATAAACTTTGTCTGGTCAAAACAAAAGTTCTCTTTTGATACAAAATAGTACTGGCCAGTACATTACTAATGGGGGTTTTAGAATATTATTTGTTTCACTGACAAAAAAATAATAATAATTATTTGTTTTTGTAAATATAACTCATTTGATTGATTCAATGTTTTGGTAAGCAAGGAAACCCCATCCACACAACTTCCACCAAGTTGTCCATTGACTATTCTCAAAAGTCAACCATTAATTAACAGTTGTTGACTTGCTCTTGAGTACTTAATTAATGGGTTTATTATTAAAACATCTCAGATTCGATAGAGACCTAAGCTGGAGAACTGGAGTAAGACTCATTCCTGTGGAGTGTAACAGCTCAAACAACTTCCAAGTCACAAAACAAGCCCTAGAATCAGCGTATCTTAACGCCCAAGAAACCGGCATCAAGATCAAAGGCCTGATCCTCGCAAACCCATCAAACCCTCTTGGAACAAGTCTCAATAAAGAGACTCTTCAAACCCTTATGGACTTCATCAACGACAAGCAAATCCACTTAGTCTGCGATGAAATCTACGCAGCCACGGTCTTTGCTGAACCAGGATTCATCAGTGTCGCTGAGATGATTCAAGAGATGGATCATGTGAACCGTGACCTAATCCACATCGTTTACAGTCTCTCAAAGGACATGGGCCTTCCCGGTTTCAGAGTTGGAGTGGTTTACTCTTACAACGATACTGTTGTGACGTGTGCAAGGAGAATGTCAAGTTTCGGTTTGGTCTCATCTCAGACACAGAGCTTTTTAGCAGCTATGTTGTCTGATCAGGTATTTGTTGATAACTTCCTTAAAGAGGTTTCGAAGAGAGTAGCGAAGAGACACTTGGTCTTCACGGAAGGGCTTAAAGAGATGGGGGTTTCTTGCTTGAGAAGTAACGCGGGTTTATTCGTCTTGATGGATTTGAGGCAGATGCTTAGGGACCAGACCTTTGAGTCTGAGATGTCTCTTTGGAGAATAATCATTAATAAGGTGAAGATCAACATCTCTCCTGGCTCGTCGTTTCACTGCTCAGAGCCAGGTTGGTTCCGAGTCTGCTTTGCTAATATGGATGAAGACACACTCCAAATTGCACTACAGAGGATGAAAAACTTTGTGGTAAGAGACAAAGAGAACAAGAACTGCAACAACAAGAAGCGTAAGAGTTTTCAAGAGAATCTTAAGCTGAGTTTCTCTTCCAAGATGTACGATGATCATGTTAGGTCACCGAGGTTGATGTCTCCGCATTCACCATTGGTCCGAACTTAAAGAACGGTCTATTTCTCGTTATATATATATATACTTAAAACAGATTGTTTATAGATCTGTATAAAAGACTTCAAAAGTAGAGGAATAATACATAATTATAGAAATTTCACTTTCCAAGTTGTTTACTAGTTTCTTGAATCTTATAACCAGTTCCAAACTTTGCTATAATAAATACGTACTTCCCGCTTTGAGTTCCTTGGTTGCGACGTCACCACACAAAATTAGGTATATTGTTCCAAAAGCTACAGCTTTTCCCTGTTTTTTTTTTTTGCACTTCAATCTAATGTTAGAGCTTTCTCCTGAACTAGTCTCATCATAACTTAATGGTTTCATTCATTGAGTTCCATTGTCGACAAAGATGATCAAAATCAAGCAAACATCACTGAGTTCCATTAGTCACAGAAAACTATACAAGAGTTTGGTCTGATTCTGCTTCTTGAGGAACAAGTAACCCCATAGAGACAGAGCTTCTCTGTTTCATATTCAAAACTTATTTGTTTTTTTTTCTTTATTATCCATTGGTAAACACATACCTCTTCTCATAGATTGGTTTAGTCATAAAAAAGCTACCTCAAGTAAGCATTACTGAAAGCTATATACAATAGTTTGGTCTGAACTGTTTCTTGAGGAAGTAACGGCTTTAAGACAGATCTTTGTTTCATATTCAAAACTCAGTTCCATTTGTTCTTGAAATTAAGTTAAGAAAAAGATTACAAAACTCTTAACTCATCTAATAGCTACAACTCTTAAGCACAACATTGTCAATCTCCAACCCATCACTCGGAAACTCACACCCACTACCCTCCACCACGTTCTTCGACCCTTCCCCAACAAGCAACCCACACGGTTAGGATCAACCCCACTAGTAACCCCCTCCACGTCACTACACATCCACATCACCTTCTTAAGCTTAACCGCCATCTCAATCGTCACATTCGAAATACAAATCCCACTAAACGGTATGAATCGATTTAGATGAGGCTTAATTGTATTAATAGTATATTTTTATATAGTTGTGAATCAATTTATGATCCTCAATTTATTTTCTTCCTTTATAACTTTTAGCAACTAAAAACTACTAGAATTTCTACTACAAAATTCAAGCTTTTTATAACATCCAACAACCATTCATGAACCAAAGCGTCGTTACAGCTTTTCATGTAATGTGAAAAAAAAAAGATTGATTCTCTTAGAAACTACTTTTGAATTTAAGGTTCAGATTTTATTGTGTGTTGGTTGATTCATATAGAGACAAGCCAAATTAAATAAACAAATATATTGTGTGAGCTAGAAACAATAGCAGTTGTACACCTTGAGTCATTCACCGTTGCGGTTACTGGCATTTATCGAACAAAGTGCACAAAATTTCTACATGAATAATGCATCATCTATAGTGCATGACATCTTAATATCATCTCCAAGGTGCTTCATTTTTCACTTTTTATTTTATTGTGAAGCCGATTTTGTTTTAAATGATGCTTCATTCCTTGTTTCAAAATAAACAATGTTGTTTCAAATTTAAAGATATATTGTTCATTGTTTCATTTTTTGAAGATAAATTTTCACAATTATAAATTACTCTTTAACTTTTACTTGTTCTTACTTTTCAGTTATAAATTAGTCCTTAATTTTTATTTGTTCTTACTTTTTGATAAAATAAATTATATGCGTTAATACTATCCAATTAATATCAAAATTTTGACTATTTTTTCAAATAATCTAATATTTATATTGAAGATTATATGAATATTCATTTTAACAACTTTTAACTCAATTAAAAAGAATCAAAGATAAATAAGCTCATCTCTTACTTCTAAACATTTTTGTTAATCACTTACATTGTGGGATAGATTAGTACGTGTATGGGATTATAAGCAGCGAGTTATAAAGTTTTGTTCTTTATGGGAATCGATTAGATTAGTAATACTACTATAAAAAGATTGATTCTCTTAGAAACTACTTTTGAATTTAAGGTTTAGATTTTATTGTGTGTTGGTTGATTCATATATTTGTTTAAATAAACAAATATATTGTGTGAGCTAGAAACAATAGCGGTTGTACACCTTGAGTCATTGACCGTTGAGGTATACTGGCATTTATCGAACAAAATACAATGCTCTTTTCCTTATTATTAAAGTAACAGAATAAACTACAATCACATACATCTCGTAGTATTCCCATCATGGAATATTCACCACATGAATAGAATAGACCTTGTCCAGGTCAGCTTATGCGCTACTTCTTTCGTCTGCCAACTCATTTTCAACGGTTTGACCCATCTTCTTCTTTTCTTCCTAACTTGTCCAAGTCAGCTTATGCGCTACTTTGTTGAAAGATTTATAATATTATTATGTTAATATTTTATATTATTGTTTTGTTTAAAAATATTTGTCTACTTAAAAGTTCCATTTTTTTCAAATTTAAACTGAAAAAATAAACGTTTTCTTGTAAGTTGCCTTGTACCTCTCTATATGTCTTAAACGGCAATGGATAGACATGGGCCATGATTCTGCATATATAACACATCGACTGTGGCCTACTCATAAACTTCCAGTAAATTCCTTTTTAGGCAAGCTTTAAGACTGATTCTTCCTTAATTCATTATAAATAAATTTCGTCCAAAAGTATACAAACAGTCGAGCGGTAAAACATCGCTTAATTTGCTGGTAGTGTAAGTATAACCAGTAGCTTCGTGTGTGTACCTTTGGTGAGCCATTACTTTTAGAAAATGAAAGAAAAATAGAGCTGCAAGGAGTGAATAACTTAGTAGTATACCACATACAAACAAAAGAATATTAAAATGAATTGTTATGTTGCTGGCCCCCACATGGCCTTCTCCAAATATGAGTAAATAGTGAATCCTATGTTTTAACCACGAAAAGCAGTGACAGCGCTATGTACGCTGATACCCACATGTTCGACCCATACCGATTACTTTCCTGCTTTTGTTCCCCTCGCTATATACCTAGCTCTCTCTCTCTCTCTCTCTATCCCTTTCCTCTGAGTTTTTTTCTCTCAATACAAGGTTTTCTCTCCCTCTCAGCTATCCAAATTTATGACTTTAGGGTTTACTCTCAGTTTATGACTTTAGGGTTTATTCATGCAAAAAAGATCCAAACTTTTCACATCTTTTTTGGTTCTTTGAATCAAAAAAGTTTTGGTTTACTCCATGCAAAAAAGATCCAAACTTTTCACATCTTTTTTGGTTCTTTGAATCAAAAAAGTTATGGTTTACTCCATCCAAACAAGTCGGATCTTTCTTTTGATGTTGTTGAAAAGCTATGGTTTTCTTTTCATCCAAACAAGTCGGATCTTTCTTTTGATGTTGTTGAAAAGCTATGTTTTTTTTTCATCCAAACGAGTCGGATCTTTTTGATGATGAAAAAGAAAATTTTTTTTTTATGGAAATCAAACCAGTCGGATCTTCTTCTTTTTTTATTTTTTGTTTTTTTATGTTGAAAGTCGGAAACTTTTTTATCATGAAACAAGTCGGATCTTTTATGGGTTTGTTTTTTTTTTTTCATGAAACGATCACTGTGTCTGTGTGATTTGATGTTACGAACTGATTGAGAAAATATATATATAATTTTCTTTAAAAAATCAAACCAGTCGGATCTTCTTCTTTATCATTTTGTTGTTGTTTTATGTTGAAAGTCGGAAACTTTTTTTTATCATGAAACAAGTTAGTTCGAATATATCGGCTAGTTCTTTAACTTTAACAAAGTATCAGCATGGACAAGCAGGCAGAAGAGGTTATAAATTAGTCCTTAATAATAGCTGCTCATCACCTTCTTTAACTTTTACATGTTCTTACTTTTCAGTTATAAAGTAGTCCTTAATTTTTATTTGTTCTTACTTTTTGATAAAATAAATTATGTGTTAATACTATCCAATTAATATCAAAATTTTCACTATTGTTTTCAAATAATCTAATATTTATATTGAAGATTATATGAATATTCATTTTTAACAACTTTTAACTCAATTAAAAAAAATCAAAGATAAATAAGCTCATCTCTTACTTCTAAACATTTTTGTTAATCACTTACATTGTGGGAATGATTAGGTTAGTATGTGTATGGGATTATAAGCAACGAGTTATAAAGTTTTGTTCTTAATGGGAATCGATTAGATTAGTAATACTACTTTAAAAAGATTGATTCTTTTAGAAACTACTTTTGAATTTAAGGTTCAGATTTTATTGTGTGTTGGTTGATTCATATAGAGAAAAGCCAAATTAAATAAACAAATATATTGTGTGAGCTAGAAACAATAGCGGTTGTACACCTTGAGTCATTGACCGTTGAGGTATAATGGCATTTATCGAACAAAATGCACAAAATTTCTACATGAATGATGCATCATCTATAGTGCATTTCATCTTAAGATCATCTTCAATTGTGCTTCATTTTTCACTTTTTATTTTATTGTGAAGCAAATTTTGCTTCAAATGATGCTTCATTTCTTGTTTCAAAATAAACAATGTTGTTTCAAATTTAAAGATATATTGTTCATTATTTCATTTTTTGAAGATAAATTTTCACAATTATAAATTACTCTTTAAATTTTACTTGTTCTTACTTTTTAGTTATAAATTAGTCCTTAATTTTTATTTGTTCTTACTTTTTGATAAAATATATGCGTTAATTAATATCAAAATTTTGACTATTGTTTTCAAATAATCTAATATTTATATTGAAGATTATATGAATATTTATTTTTGACAACTTTTAACTCAATTAAAAAGAATCAAAGATAAATAAGCTCATCTCTTACTTCTAAACATTTTTGTTAATCACTTACATTATTATTCTTCTTCGTGAAAGTTGTATCTTGTGGGAATGATTAGATTAGTAAGTGTATGGGATTATAAGCAGCGAGTTATAAAGTTTTGTTCTTTATGGGAATCGATTAGATTAGTAATACTACTATAAAGTTTTGTTGTTTTGGAGAATTGATTAGAATAGTAATAGTACATGGATGAGATAATAAGATAGATGAAACCTTGGGCCTATATTGTTTTTGGGTCTGAATTATGTTATTTTTATTGCATACAGGAGATAATAAGAATTTTCTATATTTTTGGGTCTGACTTGTGTTATTTGTATTGTTATATAAGATTATTTAAAAAAAAAAAATTATCTTCATACAAAACAATTAATTTATTATATGAAATGATTAATCAACAAATATAAATTATATAAGAAAACTTTAAAATAAATAAATTAAACATTTTTTTCCCGCGCATAATTCCTAATTAATAAAAAAAATCACTAATTCGAGAAGAACAAAGGCAAACAGAAATAACATTTTATCATTTTAAACTTAACTTCAACAAAACGGTAACTTTCAACGAAACGGTAACAACCAGATTTAAAAATAATACAAATAAAATCACGAATTTCGAGAAGAACAGAGGAAAATAAATAAAAGAAAAACACAAATATAAATTTAACAAGCGGTAACTTTTGATTGTTCAAACCAAACGGTAACATTTTTTCAAAAAAGCTTGTCGGAAGACAAGTCAACCAAGATTTTAATAACAAAAAATAGAAATCTCTATGTTCGAGAAGAACAGAGGCAATAATAAAAGAAAAACACAAATAATATTTAAATTTAAATTTAACAAAACGGTAACTTTCCATTTATCCAACGAAACGGTAACATTTTTTCAAAAAAAACTCCATCTCCTATATATATACGAACGTTGGTTAGAGAACCATAATTTCTTAATTTTTCCCCTCACTCGTAAATCTCTCAATCTCTCTTCTACGTTTTTGCTCGAAGGTGTTAACGGTCTTGTTTCCCGAGAGATGTCTCCTCTCTATGTCTACGCTTGTGCTGATGCAGCTCATCTATTCATTCATTAAATTCTCTCATTCTTTCTCATCAAAAAATTTAAAATTTCATTTTGTCTATTT